TAATCTGAAACTAAATCTATTCCTATGAATAACATGGATATCTATGTATGTCTATACAACTATGACTAGAACTAAATCTATTCCTAGGAATAGATTTTTATATATATTGTGCATTTATATTATAAGTCGAATTAGGCAGCTACTCATTCAAAGAGAATTTTTCAAATTGTATCAATCCAACACAAAATCTCTGCATTGATGAAAGTCTCATGCTATGGAAAGGAAGAGTTGGATTCAAACAATATATTCCATCTAAACATCATCGATTTGGAATCAAACTATTTGAGCTCGTCGATTGTGAAACTAAATTTATCCTCGACTTCATCATTTACACAGGAGCAAATACAGAGTATCAAATTACATCTGGACTTGGATTGAGTGGATCAATTGTAATGAAACTAATGCAACATTATTTGAATCAAGGGCACCATTTATACGTCGACAATTGGTACACAAGCCCAGCACTTTTTGAGCTCTTACATCGAAATAAAACTGGTGCATGTGGCACTGTTCGTAAAAATAGACAAGGATTACCATCTCTAGCAACTAAAGCGAAAAGAGGCGAAAGTCAATATTCTCATACAAATGTTTTACTTGCACTAAAATGGAAGGACAAAAGAGAAGTTCATATGCTTTCAACAATTCATTCACCATCATATACGAATACAAACAAAATAGACGGGCAAACTGGAGAAGTGATTCGCAAACCTGTCTGTATTCTTGAATATACTAAAAACATGGGTGCCGTTGATCATGTCGATATGCAAATTTCATTTTCCGAATGTATAAGAAAATCAATAAAATGGTACAAGAAACTTTTTTTCCATTTGTTAGATATGGCAATATATAATGCATTTGTAATTTATAAAATGCAGAATAATATTTCGCTCCACTTATCTGATTTTCGGCTCGACATCGTCAGAGAACTTTTGACAAAGTTCGGATCACAAAGGCCGACTACCATTGGAAGACCATCAATAAGACCATCTCCTCTCCGTTTGACTGCTAGACATTTTCCATCGTTGATCCCACAAACATCACAACAAGCAGAAAAACCTCGACGAAGATGCGCAGTTTGCTCTTCTCTTGATATTCGACGCGATACACAATATATGTGTCCTGACTGTAATGTACCTCTATGTATTGTTGATTGCTTCAAAAACTATCATACAAAGATGGACTATTAGCGTTTTTTTTAAAACAGGAATGTAGTTTCTTTGTGAAAAAATAAAAATCACATTCAAAAGTTACTTTTACAAACTTTGATTTTCGCAAAAAAAAGCCGGGAGCCAAAGGGTTAATGAATATCACACAGACACAAATGATCATGATCACGACCACCACCACGATCATAAAAAAGAATATCAGTACGAAATTCAGAATCATCAGAATCGTGAGAACCCCAACCATGAGCAGGAAGATCACAGGTGGCACCATCACGCATGGTAAAACATGTGCTATGATCAAAACACCAACGACCCCTATCCTCACGAGTCCAATGCTTCCAACCACATATCCACTCCCATGTGGCTTGATCACCGGTAAAGTGCCAGTCACGACATTTGTAACACTTGACACAAGAACGACCGCCACAAATGGTTGGCTTGCAAGCACCTGGTGCGGCGAATTCTTGAATTTTTAAATAAAAAGAATTAGATGAAGAACCTTGTCAAAAATTTTCATACTACTAACTCAGGGAAAGCTTATCAAAAAATGTGTCGAAAAGATTCGGTATTATCTAGCCGGCACCATAGAGCAAAGCTACTTCTTGGAGAAACTGATCTGTATCAAGGAAGGTAGACTTTCTTTCATCATTAGCTATATGTGTTTTGCCTGTTGAGGAAGCGTTTTATACACTGAAATGATATTTTTCTCTTTCTATGTTGATATGATATATATTTTATGATAAAATGAATTGATATAGCTTGATGTTTCGGACAATAACATCGTCTTTCATCAGAAGAAAATAGTTTTCATTGTTGCATCAGATGATTACCGTCTTATCTGTGCCACTATTAAATAAAAAAGAAAAGAACTGTATGAACTCGACTATATATACATTTGTACAATGTTAATAAGTATAAAGCCTCTTCTGGTGAAGGACGATGCTATTGTCCGAAACATTAAGCTATATCGATTCATTTTATCATTTAATATATATCATTTCAATATAGCTGTATGTTTCAAAGAAAAATCAATCAGGCTATGGGACCTTTACAACCTATTGCAAGGATAGGACCAATAGAGATAAATCCGGTTCCATGGATTAAAAACAAGAAATCGTTCTTTTCACGAACTAAAATAAACTAAATTTACTAGGATATGAAGCTTCTGTTTTCAGAAAGTCAAAAAACAGACAGAACTCGAAATATGTATTGAAAGCATCGCATGATGTAGAGGACCTTAAACAAGTCAAAACGACATCTTTTTACTATTTCAGTGACTCACAATAAATAAAACTCATCACCGCAGGGTTTCTTTGTTCTGAAACCCTCTCTCCTATTAAGGTTTTAATGCTTCTCATGAGTAGCCGATGTACATTCATGTTGCGGGAAACCGAATATACCTTCAACATGTGAACAGTAGCATGATTGGTCATTGTTTCAATTGACTGCGTCGTAAAGTTTCTTACAGCAGTTCAAGAAACCATGATCTTTAGATATAATGGACTCTATAGGACAAGAAAAGTATTAACAAGTTCTATTGCATTCATTAGGTGCAATTATGGTTGTTTTAAAAAGGAAAACAAATGAATAAAAGGTATGATACTGCCTTTACTAATGCAATACATCAACGAAGGTCGATCGACTTATGTCACGAGAACATTCGAAGGCAGTCCAAACTTTCTATAATCGAAGGACCGTAAAAGACAGTCAACTGTCTTAAGAGAATACAGAGAATTAAGTGAATCACCAACATGGGCAAAAGAAGAAAACTGGCAGTACCAAATGTTTCAAAAAAGGCAAAAGGATTGTAGATATTGAGCAAAGTCAAAAGTCTTCACAATTAGAGTAATCCAGAAAGCACTCAAAAAAACGAGAAGATATGTCTTAGAAATAAAAAAAACACATACTTTCTAGGAAAATGAAAGAAAATTGAATAATTCGTATCAAGTGCAAACTTTTCAAAGACCGGAAGAACTAGGGAAACCAGACAAGATTTGAAGATTCAGGATGAAGAAATTTTCTAATTCTGCTCTAGTTTCTAGTTGAACAGTTATGACAGTGAGTTAGATGCCAGAAAATTTGTAACAGAAATACACGATCGGTACATCTACAGTAAGGAACAATAGCACAAAGAAAGATAGATAAAGATTATAACTTCTGAGCACCCACGCTCTAAAAAAGTAAATTTCCTACCGAACCACCAAACAAGATTCGGTAGCTTTGTAATAGTGTCCAAATGACTCGAGGTGCTCAAAAAACAATTTTTCCATTCTACGGAACCCTTAGAAATTCTTTCCCTATATACGCGGGTCGAACCTTTTTATTACGAAACGTTTTTTGCTTTCTGTAGAGCGAAAAATGGTTTCATAACAAAATACGAAATCATTGAAGGTTTCTTGTGAAAAGGCTATAAAATCATGAGAGTTTGCTACCAAACCAACTAGCTTGATAAAAAACTTCAAAGGTTTCGCATTTTTGTTACGAACCCATTTTTTCTCTATGGAACCTAAAAAAAGTTTCGTAGCAAAAAGGATCGGCTCGTGTACCCAGGGAAAGAATCTTTAAAGGTTTCGTAGAATGGAAAATTTGTGTTTTGAGCATCTCGAATCATTTGGACACTATTTCAAAACTACCAAGCCTTTTTTGAAGCTTTCGTAGAGAACTCATGTTTCTTAGAGTGCAGACATGCAAAGTGTTGTCCTAAAGAACGACCACACTACTAAAATCGAGATTAATTCTTAATCCTGAAAAGATGGGTATGGACAACAGAAATTGCTTCTTTGTTTGTCCAGGATCGACTTGATGGACTCGGTGACGAAGTTAAGCGGAAGATCTGCTGTGAACGATGATGGGCCCAGGTGGTTGAAGTGTTACAAGTGAGAGTCAAATCGTTTAGCTTTGTTTGTTTCTACGTGACAAGTAGCGCGTTAGCTCTACGAGCCTCGCTTGGTTCAATCCTGAAAGGTTGTTAACAAAATTCTAATGATGTAATTCTCGTCGTCCCTTCCATATCAAAACCCTTGTGGGTAGTTTCAAATCTATCGCCGATGATAGAATAAAAGAACTGATCACAAAACCGGCTGAAGACTATATTGCCAGCACCTGAGCGAAAGAGCGAAAGACAACTTTCGTGGGACATGTTCTAGTTTGCGATGCAAATCTGCTATCTCACACCATTTGTGAGCTTAAAATATCGACGTGGGAGTGCTGGAAATATAGTCTTTAGTCGGGGTTGTGATCAGGTCTTTTATTCTATCATTGGTGATAGATTTAAAACTACACACAAGGGTTTTGATATGGAAGGGACGATGAGAATTACATCATTAGAATTTTGTTAATAACCTTTGAGGATTGAGCTAAACGATACTCGTAGAGCCGACGCGCTACTTGTAACTATTAGCCTGCATCAGTAATAGAACATCAAATTATCAACACAAGTTGGAAAGAAGACATTCTGTTATCATAAATGTATTTTAGCTTACAAAGATAGATTGAAACAATGCTTTGAGTTAAGAAAGCTTCCACCGAACATTTGACATGATTCTCAAATACATAAGTTAATCATTCGGATTATAAAGCTCAAATATGCTAACAAAAGGTTCAAGAGAACATGATCTCTCGAGCACAATAAACAGCAAGACTTAGACGCTCCTAGCAACTCTTTATGACGAAAATGTATTCGTATAGTAGAAGTCATGTCGAGGTAATCAACACTATAGGCTATCATGATAATAATGCACATTCTGATGATGTACTTTCAACAGTATGTAGATAAACATGGGTAGTCATAGTGATCAGATGTAAATACTTCTTCATCCTTCAGAACCGTTCCACATAACTTTTATGTATAGACATAACAATGCATGTAAGTTCTGTGGACGTCTTGCAAACCTTCTCCATTGTGACGCATATTGTGGCATTCATGAAAGAGACTATATCTGTAGTTTCATGGCTTTTTAGAAATTATCACATCTTGTGAATAAGAAAATTATCATTCATAACAAAAAGTGAGAAATACACCAAATAGACTGCCGTGTCTCAATAAGCTTTTCAGGAGCAATGGAATCATGAAAACTCATTGTATTTTGAAAAGTAATGCAGTAGGTCGCTAAACATACCTTGCTTCGGTGCCACTGGAATAGGTTTCGATTTAGCAGAGCTAGATGCACCTGAAAGTAAACACACAATATTATTATAACATGCATAATTCTATAACGAGAGTCTAAAGACTGCCAATCCCACTCGGTATATACGCTACAGACCCAGGCCAATCATTACGGCAGCCGTAAATGACTGTAAACAGCTGTACACCCCGAAGGAAACAACCGAATACGAAAGATCCATACGTTAGAATCCGTGCCGTGCAATGACTATATTTTCCGGTAACAAACTGCAACCGATCTCGTTTGCGACCGTTCTCCGCCGTAACTTATCGTACCCAAGAGCAATCTGTCCCATCTTAAAGGTCTTTCCAAGTCATTTTAAAGGCTTTTCAGAATGGTCCATTTGCGAAAGATCATTGACTCTAAAAAACATTAGCTCTATACGGAACCCTCGTAAAAAAGTTCGGTAGCTTTGAAATAGTGTCCAAATGATTCGAGATGCTCAGAACACAAATTTTCCATTCTACGAAACCTTTAAAGATTCTTTCCCAGAATACACGAGCCGAACCTTTTTGCTACGAATCTTTTTTAGGTTTCATAAAGAAAAAATGGTTTCGTAACAAAAATGCGAAACCTTTGAAGTTTTGTATCAAACTAGTTGGTTTGGTAGCAAACTCTCATGGTTTTATAGCTTTTTCGTAGGAGGTTTTTCAAGGTTCCATAGAACGGAAAAATTGTTTTTTGAGCATCTCAAATCATTTGGACTCTATTTCAAAGCTACCCAACCTTTTCTGAAGTCCGTCAGGGAACTTGTTTTTTAGGGTCTTCCAAGCCTTTTGAGGGCCTATATGAACCACGTTAAACTAAGAGACCTTCCAGCCTGATTTTCTTGTTATCGATCCCAGCGTAGTACGAGCAATACACCTGCAAAGTGCACCACATAGCTCATTGCACAGAAGGCAACTAGTCGGAAGCAAATCAATTCAATATAAAGGCTACAAAAGTCTTTATTGGTCAACAAAACTTCAAAACAAAACGACATTCACCAAAACAAGTTGTGAAAGCAAAACAGTTCGCCAACGAGACCATACCCATGTAAACACCAGACGCAGAATATATGCGTGTAATCGCAGTTTCATTGTAGACCGCGTTCAGACGCGCTAAAAATTGATTTT